CAAATCTTAAATGAGAGTGTGTTCCGAAGACGCAGCTGGATAAATTAACATTAAAAAATTTTTATCATGATTGTACATTCCGAGTACGTTTCGTTTTCACACTTACATACTGTAAATGCTAGTACAAAACATTTTTTAAGGTAGTACACACGATAATATCATTCAAAAGTTAAGTCCCATCGCGAATTCGGTGATGGCACTCTCACATTCCACTCCCGCCAATAGTGAGACTGATCGTCGAAAAAATGACAAGTCACTTGTATGTCACCTACATATTAAAAGTATATAATGATTTTCTACATATCTACAGCTAGAAAATACTCCAATATTATATAAGGCAATATTATATAGACAAACATGAAAATAATGTGTTATTAAAAATACAATAATAATAATTGTAAAAAAATCTTTGTATAAATTAATTCATCCTCTCTAATACAGTCTTGAAATTTGTAACTTTATAAAATACTCTCTAAATACTTTTCTAATAACTTTTCTAAATACTTTTATTGAATGTAACATACATAATATAAAAGATATATACATAATTAAAAGATGCATTATAAAGCTATTGGTCATTGCAATTAGCAGGCTAATTAATACACTGTCTTATACTATATTTTTGTTATATTGCAAACATTTGAAAGTTTGATTTTTTGTGATTCTTTGAATTTTTGCACTATTTTTCGGACTCTCGAAATATGGCCAAAGGAATATATTATTATAAAAAAGCTATATTAAGATATATACATATTATACAGTACACATGTCCGGACACTTACACAAAATTAATTATTATTGATCTATCAAATGCTCTTGTTATTAAAGTCTTGTTATTGAAATTTAATTATGTTTAGCAATTACATTTAAATTGCAACATGATATTTAAAAAATTTGAGATTAATATAATAATAAATTTTGTGTTGGTGCTCGGAAATAGATACATGTCCAGTCGCTAGGACGTTTACCAGAATAAGTTTTTCGAATGGCTAACACGATTCTAATGTCAGAATTAAAAATGGATCTAATATGGGGAACTTAAATTTTAAAACATTGCTTAAAACGCAAAGTTGGTTTTTAGAGAGTTCTGTCGAGTTTCTAATTTTGATTTTAATATAAAAAGTAAATAATTCTTAATATAAAAATTTTTAATATAAAAAATGAATAAATTGACGCATATAAAAAAATAATTAATTTAAAAGGACGAATTTTATACGACTAATTCCACTGATATTATCAGAATTAATATTTCAGAATGGATATCTAGTATGATTGATTTAAAATGCTTCAAAACGTAAGAGAGTTCGTTTTTAACATTTTTTTTAAGTTGCTGATTTTGATAAAAAATTATATATATATATATTTAGATTGACAAATCTGACAAATAATGTTTACGAAAATTAAATTCTTTTCACGATATTATTAAGAATAGAGTATAATTGTACTTGATCGATTATTCTGTAGTCAGTTAATCCTTTACTACGGTATCACTCATGTGACCCTAAAAAATAAATAATTTTTTATGTATCAAATGTGGTACACTATAATATTGTACTTTATTATAATATGAATATATAACAAAAATAGAAAAATAAATGTGAATCTGGTAATGAATTAAATGTTATATCATGAATGACCTCATTTTGTATGTGTGCAAGAAGACTAGCTTTTCGCATAAAGCCTTTATTACATATCGAACATTTATACAGTTTTTTATCACTATGTATACGTTTGTGTTGGATTAGGTTAATTTTAAAATTAAATACTTTGCTGCAAATCTAAAATACAGTACATTTATAATTACATAAATGTAAAAATAAACATAATCAATTGAGAAATAATTAGAAAAAGTACTAACAATAATTTTGTAGCACATACCTCGCAAACATATGGTTTCTCTGCATGTGTTTGTATATGCCGTTTAAGATTGTTTGAACGTTTAAATGCAGCTGGACATATCTCACATTTATACGGTCTTGCATTGATCTTAGAATGCTTCGTGATTAAATGATTATTGAAATTCTGTTCATTATTGAAACTCTTCTTACAATCGTTACAATCGTTATACGGCTTTTTATCACTATGTATACGTTTGTGTTGGATTAGGTTAATTTTAAAATTAAACACTTTGCTGCAAATCTAAAATACAGTACATTTATAATTACATAAATGTAAAAATAAACATAATCAATTGAGAAATAATTAGAAAAAGTACTAACAATAATTTTGTAGCACATACCTTGCAAATATATGGTTTCTCTGCATGTGTTTGCAGAGTATGCCGTTTAAGGTTGCCTAAACGTTTAAATGCAGCTGGACATATCTCACATTTATACGGTCTTGCATCGATGTTAGAATGCTTCGTGATTAAATGATTTATGAAATCCTGTTCATTATTGAAACCCTTCCTACAATCGTTACAATCGTTATACGGCTTTTTATCACTATGTATACGTTTGTGTTGGATTAGATTAATTTTAAAATTAAACACTTTGCTGCAAATCTAAAATACAGTACATTTATAATTACATAAATGTAAAAATAAACATAATCAATTGAGAAATAATTAGAAAAAGTACTAACAATAATTTTGTAGCACATACCTCGCAAACATATGGTTTCTCTGCATGTGTTTGTATATGCCGTTTAAGATTGTTTGAACGTTTAAATGCAGCTGGACATATCTCACATTTATACGGTCTTGCATTGATCTTAGAATGCTTCGTGATTAAATGATTATTGAAATTCTGTTCATTATTGAAACTCTTCTTACAATCGTTACAATCGTTATACGGCTTTTTATCACTATGTATACGTTTGTGTTGGATTAGGTTAATTTTAAAATTAAACACTTTGCTGCAAATCTAAAATACAGTACATTTATAATTACATAAATGTAAAAATAAACATAATCAATTGAGAAATAATTAGAAAAAGTACTAACAATAATTTTGTAGCACATACCTTGCAAATATATGGTTTCTCTGCATGTGTTTGCAGAGTATGCCGTTTAAGGTTGCCTAAACGTTTAAATGCAGCTGGACATATCTCACATTTATACGGTCTTGCATCGATGTTAGAATGCTTCGTGATTAAATGATTTATGAAATCCTGTTCATTATTGAAACCCTTCCTACAATCGTTACAATCGTTATACGGCTTTTTATCACTATGTATACGTTTGTGTTGGATTAGATTAATTTTAAAATTAAACACTTTGCTGCAAATCTAAAATACAGTACATTTATAATTACATAAATGTAAAAATAAACATAATCAATTGAGAAATAATTAGAAAAAGTACTAACAATAATTTTGTAGCACATACCTTGCAAATATATGGTTTCTCTGCATGTGTTTGCAGAGTATGCCGTTTAAGGTTGCCTAAACGTTTAAATGCAGCTGGACATATCTCACATTTATACGGTCTTGCATCGATGTTAGAATGCTTTGTGATTAAATGATTATTGAAATCTTGTTCATTACTGAAACCCTTCTTACAATCGTTACAACCGTTAAGTACATTGAAATGGACTTCTTTCTTATGTCTGTGTAGATACCCTTTGTTACTGCAAAGTATTTATCATTTGTTAACCACTATTTTAAGTAAAGATGTTATTTAATAATTCCTATAATTTTTGTTACTCACGACAATATTTTTTTACAAAACTCGCATTGATAAGATTTTTTCATATGAATTTTCTCATGCTGGCGCAAATGCAATTCACAAATAAACATTTTACTACACTTTCCGCATTTGTAGGTGATTACATTTGTATTATCTCGATTTTGAACCATTACAACACCTTGCGTCGTTGAAGATCCTTTAACAGCTAATTTCCCAATGGGAGACGAATTCAATTTGATGATATTGTCTTTTTGCGACATAACGTATCGCAACAGATCGGAAGCCAAATTCGGCATTTGTTTGGAATCGATTTTAACAACTCCCTCGTTAATTACTAAAACAGGTGGTTGGCTAGATTTTGCTTCATCTGCAGATTGCAATCCTAATGACGTTGCCAGATCAGTGGATGAAATCGAGATTTTGTTGAATCCACTCGACTGCGAATTAGCGCGATTGAATGCATGTTGAATCACGCTACGGCCCAATAGTCTTTCGTCTTCAGATTTCCCAGTCCATTCATCATCACTGCCCGCGTCACCTATCAATTCCTTTGCGGCACTGCTTCCTCCTTTTTCCGAATCATCGATCCTCCTTTTACCTAATAGTTCATTCTCTTCATCTTTCATTAAGCTACACCATTGCTTGATTTTATTCATCACTTTTAATTTATTAGACCGCATCGAGCGTCCTGTTTGAGCAGTACTTGATCCAGGCTGACTAGTCTTAGCTTTTATCACTGATTTTTGCAACGGCAAACTCACACATCCGACGACTTTTGTATTATCCTTCTGTTGCACTTCTTTAGACTCTTTTTGCTTGGCGTGACTCCGCTCAAATTCATCCAATAAACTTTTGCATGTTGCTACAGCCTCTGCAGATTCCCATGTATTGTTTTCATGTGGATAGCCTTTCCATTTGATTAAGTATTCCCAGCATCTTTTTTTAGTATTAAAACGTTTGGCTAATATTTTATCGACAATATATCCTTCGTTACTTAGGTCTGCATCTTCTTCGGTAGTTGCTTTGCCAGACTTGGTTTTGAGCTTGATCGATGGTTTCAGTCTGGGGTTTTCCTGGTCCATTTCTGTAAGATGAATACAAATGTCCAAGCCTCCTTGTCTGACCTGTCTTGAACTTGTGTACTCTTCCATAATAGAAATGCTCATACTTGTACTTTTCGTCTATTATCGTTGATGTCACAAACACGTGATATTTTGGAGCAGGCTCCCTCCTTTGTGCGATGTTCTTGAAACTATTTAAATGATTTATGAAATCCTGTTCATTATTGAAACCCTTCCTACAATCGTTACAATCGTTATACGGCTTTTTATCACTATGTATACGTTTGTGTTGGATTAGATTAATTTTAAAATTAAACACTTTGCTGCAAATCTAAAATACAGTACATTTATAATTACATAAATGTAAAAATAAACATAATCAATTGAGAAATAATTAGAAAAAGTACTAACAATAATTTTGTAGCACATACCTCGCAAACATATGGTTTCTCTGCATGTGTTTGTATATGCCGTTTAAGATTGTTTGAACGTTTAAATGCAGCTGGACATATCTCACATTTATACGGTCTTGCATCGATGTTAGAATGCTTCGTGATTAAATGATTTATGAAATCCTGTTCATTATTGAAACCCTTCCTACAATCGTTACAATCGTTATACGGCTTTTTATCACTATGTATACGTTTGTGTTGGATTAGATTAATTTTAAAATTAAACACTTTGCTGCAAATCTAAAATACAGTACATTTATAATTACATAAATGTAAAAATAAACATAATCAATTGAGAAATAATTAGAAAAAGTACTAACAATAATTTTGTAGCACATACCTCGCAAACATATGGTTTCTCTGCATGTGTTTGTATATGCCGTTTAAGATTGTTTGAACGTTTAAATGCAGCTGGACATATCTCACATTTATACGGTCTTGCATTGATCTTAGAATGCTTCGTGATTAAATGATTATTGAAATTCTGTTCATTATTGAAACTCTTCTTACAATCGTTACAATCGTTATACGGCTTTTTATCACTATGTATACGTTTGTGTTGGATTAGGTTAATTTTAAAATTAAACACTTTGCTGCAAATCTAAAATACAGTACATTTATAATTACATAAATGTAAAAATAAACATAATCAATTGAGAAATAATTAGAAAAAGTACTAACAATAATTTTGTAGCACATACCTTGCAAATATATGGTTTCTCTGCATGTGTTTGCAGAGTATGCCGTTTAAGGTTGCCTAAACGTTTAAATGCAGCTGGACATATCTCACATTTATACGGTCTTGCATCGATGTTAGAATGCTTCGTGATTAAATGATTTATGAAATCCTGTTCATTATTGAAACCCTTCCTACAATCGTTACAATCGTTATACGGCTTTTTATCACTATGTATACGTTTGTGTTGGATTAGATTAATTTTAAAATTAAACACTTTGCTGCAAATCTAAAATACAGTACATTTATAATTACATAAATGTAAAAATAAACATAATCAATTGAGAAATAATTAGAAAAAGTACTAACAATAATTTTGTAGCACATACCTTGCAAATATATGGTTTCTCTGCATGTGTTTGCAGAGTATGCCGTTTAAGGTTGCCTAAACGTTTAAATGCAGCTGGACATATCTCACATTTATACGGTCTTGCATCGATGTTAGAATGCTTTGTGATTAAATGATTATTGAAATCTTGTTCATTACTGAAACCCTTCTTACAATCGTTACAACCGTTAAGTACATTGAAATGGACTTCTTTCTTATGTCTGTGTAGATACCCTTTGTTACTGCAAAGTATTTATCATTTGTTAACCACTATTTTAAGTAAAGATGTTATTTAATAATTCCTATAATTTTTGTTACTCACGACAATATTTTTTTACAAAACTCGCATTGATAAGATTTTTTCATATGAATTTTCTCATGCTGGCGCAAATGCAATTCACAAATAAACATTTTACTACACTTTCCGCATTTGTAGGTGATTACATTTGTATTATCTCGATTTTGAACCATTACAACACCTTGCGTCGTTGAAGATCCTTTAACAGCTAATTTCCCAATGGGAGACGAATTCAATTTGATGATATTGTCTTTTTGCGACATAACGTATCGCAACAGATCGGAAGCCAAATTCGGCATTTGTTTGGAATCGATTTTAACAACTCCCTCGTTAATTACTAAAACAGGTGGTTGGCTAGATTTTGCTTCATCTGCAGATTGCAATCCTAATGACGTTGCCAGATCAGTGGATGAAATCGAGATTTTGTTGAATCCACTCGACTGCGAATTAGCGCGATTGAATGCATGTTGAATCACGCTACGGCCCAATAGTCTTTCGTCTTCAGATTTCCCAGTCCATTCATCATCACTGCCCGCGTCACCTATCAATTCCTTTGCGGCACTGCTTCCTCCTTTTTCCGAATCATCGATCCTCCTTTTACCTAATAGTTCATTCTCTTCATCTTTCATTAAGCTACACCATTGCTTGATTTTATTCATCACTTTTAATTTATTAGACCGCATCGAGCGTCCTGTTTGAGCAGTACTTGATCCAGGCTGACTAGTCTTAGCTTTTATCACTGATTTTTGCAACGGCAAACTCACACATCCGACGACTTTTGTATTATCCTTCTGTTGCACTTCTTTAGACTCTTTTTGCTTGGCGTGACTCCGCTCAAATTCATCCAATAAACTTTTGCATGTTGCTACAGCCTCTGCAGATTCCCATGTATTGTTTTCATGTGGATAGCCTTTCCATTTGATTAAGTATTCCCAGCATCTTTTTTTAGTATTAAAACGTTTGGCTAATATTTTATCGACAATATATCCTTCGTTACTTAGGTCTGCATCTTCTTCGGTAGTTGCTTTGCCAGACTTGGTTTTGGGTTTGATCGATGGTTTCAGTTTTGGTTTTTCCTGTGGATTGCCTTTCCATTCGATTAAGTATTCCCAGCATCTCTTTTTAGTATTAAAACGTTTGGCTAATATTTTATCGACAATACATTTTTCGTTACTTATGTCTGCATTTTCTTCGGTAGTTGCTTTGCCAGACTTGGTTTTGAGCTTGATCGATGGTTTCAGTCTGGGGTTTTCCTGGTCCATTTCTGTAAGATGAATACAAATGTCCAAGCCTCCTTGTCTGACCTGTCTTGAACTTGTGTACTCTTCCATAATAGAAATGCTCATACTTGTACTTTTCGTCTATTATCGTTGATGTCACAAACACGTGATATTTTGGAGCAGGCTCCCTCCTTTGTGCGATGTTCTTGAAACTCTTCGATGAAATGAAAGACACTGTCCACATACCAGTACACCTAATCGTTAAATTACTTCTTGCGCTGCTTTAATAATGGTAGGTTTATTACTGATGGCTAAAGGGCATCATCTCCCTCCATTCTATATTCTCGATTTTCGTCATGTGATCCCTTTTATATAGTGAAACTAACGAACGACTGAATTTCCTTAGCCTGGAAAATAGTTTATCTTTAGTAGGTACCTCACTATTATGTCGTTTCAAAGCTTATGAGAAAGGTTGTTAAAAAACAAATATGGAAATGGTAACATAAAACGGTACTGTTGAAATAATACAAAGATATCCAAAACTTTAAAACTTAAAAACATTAATCACATATGAATTACATAAATCTTACCGCACTGTTGAAATATATTTTTTTGTATCTTTATCTGTTATTTTCACTGTTGATTCAAATATTGCGAAACTTGAGATTAATAGATATTCCCTTATTTTTCAGATAGGACTCAAACTCTTTAGATATATTTCTCAATTGACTTTATTGTAACGTTCTTTAAATTCTTTTCGTATTTCTCACGGTTTAAATTTTTTCGATCATGTATATTTTCAAGTTTATTCACCTAAAATCATAAGACATAATTTTTTAATAACATAAGTTGAATTAGCCATCATCTTTTAATTCATTTTACTGCTAAATTAGCGTATTTTATTATTAGTGATACTGGATATATAATTTTGAACGTTTTTTCTACATATGAATGTTTTTTTATTTTTTTTCTAATTTACGTAAATAAAATATTAAATAAAATAACTGTGAACAGGATGATAATCGTTTTTATGTTACCAATGTTTGTTAGAGAGAGCGAAGTATAATTTTTATATTATGTTTTATTTTTACTGTTTGTAATATTATATGTTTTTGACATTGATAATGATCCGATCGCGATTGAAACGTTTGTTTATTGTTAGCACATTATATTAAATCAACTAAAAGGTATAATTATTTCTTTTACTTATGTTTAAACTTCTATATTAACGATGTTTAATTTTATAAAATAATTTTCAGCTCGTAGTCCATTTTCTTTGTTTTTTAAATTTTATCTTAGTCTTATTATTAATTGACATATTAAGCAAAATATTAGATTGAAAACGTGAGACGTTAAAATAATTAAACGTATTTCAAACTAACAGAAAGTACGAATAAGAACATGTAAATAAGAAACTGTTATCAAGGTTGAAAGCTATATTTTGTATATATGACTAATATGTACGAATTAAGAAATATCAAGAGTAAACTCGTATAATTGCTTGTTATATAAAATCTGATAAAAAGAAATTAGAGAGAATTCAGTGAATAATGAACAATAGCCAAAGTTCATTTTATGTTCGAGAACAGATTTTAGGCAATAAAGTTATAATAAAATGATAGCTATCACGAAAAGTAAAAAGGGGGATACGGAATGACAGACAAAAAAGTGTCAAAGGCAGACAAAATCTTAAAAAAAGAAATTTATAAAATTAGAATGATGCCTGATGTTAGATTAAGAAACTGACATTTTGATAATTTAATAACTTACATGCAATGCCTACGACTTAGACGTAATAATCAAGATCATTACAGTTACAATTTCAAATTGTTTGCTGACAACTAACCACGTCAAAATTTTGAGAACAACTGAGGCAATACAAACATACATATTTATTTATATTATATATTTATATGAATACAGAGTTGGCAATTACATTATTTCATACAAATAACTCGTTATAATCCTTCTTAAAAAAGTAATTCATTATATCGTCACTTGTTATTGATTTGCAAAAATATAAAGTTACGATTACATGGAGTGCGGAAAATGCGGAAATGCGGAAGACAAAATTAACTAAACTTTATTAAATTTCCCGTCTTTCCGCACGTTTTGTTCCGTTCCATTTGTTTTTATCTCCTAATATTACATGGAGCGCAATTTCCGCGGAAAAGTGGAACGTTATAATGAACAAATACATTTTTGTAATCATTAAAAAAAATTGTTTACTTAATTCATTGCAATTTTTATTAATCTGCTTATCTTTTCAGCGTATATATTGAATATACAAGTATTTTAATCAATAAATTTCGTTAAAAATTAATAATTTATAATTTCTTGTTCCGCTTTTTTATTAAAATTGTGCTCCATGTAATATTAGGAGATAAAAACAGGCGGAACAGACGCGCGGAAAGGTGGGAAATTTAGTAAAGTTTAGTTAATTTTGTCGTCCGCGTTCCTGCATTTCCGCATTTCCGCGCTTCATGTAATTGCATCCTAAGCCGTATAAAAATAACTCGATACCATCACTCAAAATGTAACGAGTCGTTTCTTTTTCATTACTTTTTTTTCTTGACACTAATAGAATATTATAACGTTTCTCATTGGTACTTGAGAAAATTAAAATTACTCAGTACATATTGCTGTCCTTATACTACTCTAATCTAAACGTTTAAAAATGACATATCTCAATTAATAAACTGCTCAAAGTATATCAAATAGCATAATAAAATGTATTTGTGATTCTGATTCTCTCTCTCTCTCTCTCTCTCTCTCTCTCTCTCTCTCTATCTATATATATATATATATATAAAACCCTTTTCCAAGATTAAAGTATGCATTAATACGTGTCTGGAAAGTGAAGTTTAATAATTTAATAGTTTAATAGTTTCTAGAACTTGTAACGAATTCGATTGGACGCACTCAGTGCGTACTGCATATTAAAATCGTCATACAAAAAATAACGTAAAGATATGTTTATACATAGACATAGAGATTGGATTAAATACAGAAATACTCTATACATTTTACTGTACTATTACATAAAATATGTATTTTATAGTCTGAAATATTTCAGTTCATTATTGCATTTCACTTTTATATTCAAATTGGTACTTTATTTTCGTAAAGATCTTTTTAAATAAAACTTTTTTTTTAATCGAAGAGATTGAATTAATTTTATAAAGTTTTTTTTTATTTGAAATATTTATAAAAATTGAATTTATGATAATATATAGAACTTAATATGATAATGATGGTCAATAGAACTTTATATGATAAAATTACAGAAAGTATATTAAAAAAATTTGAAAGATTTTTCCAAAAAATTTAATAAAACGTTGCTACTTTTTTTGTAAATTAATACTATATTTTTAAATGTATATCTGATACAAAGTTAAAAGATTTTACGGTAGTAGTGTGTCAAGGAAACAATTAATAAATTTAATTTGTAGGAACTCGCGTCGCGAGATAACAATAATGTCGGCTACGCTCTTTGAAGATCGCAAAAGAAAGTCCTTATGCGGATGATTTGCAACGTGAAACTAACCTCGACGAAGAACGTCGACAGACCTTACTGTTGTCCGGGTCCTGATGTATCTTTCATAAAAACAGTGCTGATAAGGATCTAAATCCTGTCTCAGATTCACTGCCGCGAATTTCAGCGAATGCCGTATAAGCCATATATAGTCTTCCCTAGTCATGTATGTGAAGCAATAAATTTTATTGTTTTTAATGACCGAACGATTTCGAAGAGCGAAAGAATAAAATTGTATGTGAGCAATATTTATAGTAATAACGGGCATCGAACTTGCTGCAAACTTGACAATCTACACAGAAAGAAACGACTTTGTTGAAGTTTTACAGTAAAATTTACGTATTAAGAAGATTCTTGCGTTTGATGAAATATAAGACTATAATATACATGTAATACAAATGTTAATAATATCAATAATATCTAGAAAAAATTTCATTGACTTTTACCGTATCATTTTGAAGATATTTAATTTTAAATTTATAGAATTTTACATTACAAATTAAAGATATAATGTAATTATTCTCTTTTAAATTGAGACTCTTACGTATAAGACAATAATTTAAAAATCATTATAATTATAAAATTAACACTTAAATTTGTTCTAAAGTTTCATTTAAATTGACCGTACAATTTACAAGAAATTTAAATTCTTCAATGAAAAAAGCTAGAATATATATCAAATGGATGATGTGTACATCAAATAAGCATCTTACAACTTTTATTTTGTCATTTTGAAAATATTTAGTATAAAAATATATAAAATTAACAATAATTATGTACAATATAATGGAACAAGGTATTGTTAGTAATCTTTTTATTCCATTATTTTAATTGTTTTACATATTATTTTGAATAAACTATCTATTGACTAGGAAGTAGCGCGAGAATCTCCTTAAATTGATAATCGAATTCATTATTGCTTGTTTTTTCGTGATTTTCTTTTTATTCACAGCAAGAGTAATTGTCAGTATAAAGTGCTTTTTATAGCTCACAAAGATTACATTATAGTGATCTGTATATTCGTGTACTTATATATTTGCATTAGTATTTTGTATAAGTATAATATTGAAAATTAAATGTGCACCGAAAAAAACTGTTTTACTGAAGTGTTTAAAAATTTAGCTAGATATAGGTATGTAGATTTCAAAATAATTATATACTATTAAAATAATTATGTAAGCTCTGATTGCTAGAATGTTAAAACTTTTTGTAATAGTGTCATCAAAACTTAAGCTTTCTACATAATTATTTTAATAATCTAACAAAATTATTTTCAGATCTGAAATTTTTAGACACTTCAGCAAAATTCTTTTTTCCACACATAGCACGTATCTGTTGTTTAATATTTAAAATCTGTATGAAAATAGTTTCAGAATCAGATATGTACATAAATTCATAAATATGTAAGCGGATGTTAACGTTCGCTTTGACCGAATATAAGATTTTTCTCGTTTAATTACGTTTATTCTCATTGGTCCAAAATTTGTATAGTATCATATACTCACTAAAAATAATTTTGTTGGACTAAAATAATTACATAGAAAACTCAAGCAATATTACAAAAAGTTTAACATCAGTAATCAGCTTGATCGTTCTACATAATTATTTTGATAATCCACAATAAAATTTATTTTCAAATTTGTGTAGCTAAATTTTTAGATACTTCAGCGGAATCGTTCTGTCCGTATAGATAGCACGTATGTGAATAAAATAGAATCTAATAGAGGCGAGTGTATATGTATACGTGTCATCAAAACTGAGTACATCGAAAGAGAGACGTTATCCCGCGAGCCGAAATATAATTTACTACGTTACAGCGCAACGCGATGCTGGTGTGAGATGCATGCGAATTTAATTAGCATATAATTATCAAATGTCGAAGGTGTAAGCATTAATACGCATAAATGTAGATCCCGGCAGAAATACGATTCCCGGAGGCAATAATCTGTCCTGTAAATCACATCTTATGAATATCGCGGATTATTCGATCCGCATGCGAGGATAATACGGAGTAAGTACATGATAATGCACGTATGTTACTGTCTCGCGAGAATACCTTCTGAGATGTTAAGACGCTGGGCAAAGTTATCTCTCTTCTGAAACGTTACACTAATCCTTTCAATTTGCTCAATTCTCAACTTGGCTGAACAAGTACGTTGAAGCTAATAACAGATTATTAATATTTTGTAATTATTCAATATTTAGTAATTATTATATGTTAGTTCCT